GGAAAGGTGAGTTGTATACTAGCTACCATATCCGATTGATTTCCTAATATAAAGATTTAAAAACAAAAGTTGTGTCGTGGTGTTCTTTAGTTATCGGACAAAACAGGAGTCGCCAGCTGGCGACCAGTTCTGAAAATTTAGTTGCCAGTGCTCAATTTTTGGTCGCATTGGTGACCAGTGAGTTGCAATTTCGAGCCCTGTATGGACAACTTTCTAATATGGATAGTTTCCTATGTACTGACAAAATTCTCATACATTTCCTCTAAAAAAGCCTCTATAATACAGACCCTCTCTAAAAGGTTTATCTTGGCCCTAGGGACTGGGAGTAAATTCATACAAATTTAACCTCTTTATTACGGACACTCCATGGACCAGGTGTCGATAATTTGTGGTATGAACAATTTTCTGTCGGCGGTTACACAAACATTGACACTTAATCATTTAGATTCAGAAATTCGCAAGACACTCACTTTTAGGCCTGATTTTAGCTTACTTACTAAACACTCTAAACTGTCAGTGGAGAACTAAAAGTGACGTCATCGTATAGTGACCTCTCCAATATGGACACCTCTTTAATATGGACACTTCGCTCTGTCCCTTTGATGTCCATTTTAGAAAGGTTCGACTTTATGAATGATCAGACTCCAGAGTACCTGGAAGGCTTATTTAAACCCTTCAGCATGGACTATGGACTCGAAAATATTGAAAACAAATTAGCTCTGCCCAAGCCCTGTACCGATTTTTTTAAGTGTAGTTTCTGCTACAGTGGAGCACATTTGTGGAATACATGTAGCCTTCCATCTAACATTAGAGCCATTAGATCTTTTTTGCTTAAAAAATGAAATCAGTCATTTGATGTCCTCATACTCCCACGTGGCAAACATGTAAATGAGTTTTTTTTTTTATCTCAATCTTGTAACATAACTGATGTTTCTACCATATTTAATAAAGTGTAATTCTATGTATCTATGTAACTATGCATGTAATACTGAGAGAAACAATCAATACAATAGACTAGCACCCCTTTCAGGGGGATGGGGGGATGGGGAGAGGCAGTACTCTTGGCTACTCGATGCTACGAAGACTGGAGTTCACTAAGCACCAGGTTTTACTAGGACTACATGTATCTTATCTGGTATGCACGTTTGCTCAACTCCAGTGAACTTAAAGCATGAGTAGCCTCCTCTCCAAGAGGCAATGAAACAGTATTGCAATAAAGCTGTTCTTGGCCATGAGGTCTTACACATGAATGCTTCAATCTCTAGTAGTAATGTTAGGTTTGGGGGGAGGGGCTAATACTTGAACCTCATCCTTTAACACTTGATGAATTTGATATCCTATTTATGACCATTGTGGCTAGTACAGTTGCCCTAAACGTAATTTATGAAGGGCTTTTGTTGATGGTCTTGTTGATAATGATGAAAAAGTAGCTCCTTCTACCCAGTTCAAGACAAGAGTGCAAAAACCATACCCTATTTATGACCAAAATGGCCAAAATCGATACCCTATTTACATGTATGACCAATATAGCTGAAAAAGCATACCCTTTGGGGCCGCACATACCTATACAGCCCATAAAAGGGAGCCCACCACCCCTCATCCCCTCGCGGGTGTATCACGTACTATCTCTGTGTGGCATTTAAGGGTTAATCAATGATTACTAACTTTATTTTTTCTACAATTAAAGGTAAATATTGCAAGATCATGATGACATCATTGGTCAAGCTGGAATGCATACCTTGAAAATCATGATGGATGATAGAAAATGGTGTTCTAAAATCACAGGTTAGAGTAAAGTTCTGTTTAATGAACATTCCTACATTTGTTAGGAAACCACAATAATTACATAAGGCAGCCTTGATTTGCACCTGGAAGACCTGACAAAAATCTTCCCAGTTTGCGAGCTTTACAATGAGGATGACATTGGATTGAGCTCTCTGGATATTCCATCCTCTTACCAAAGGAACAAATTCACAAGGTTGGACCTGCACCACCAAATCTCATTTTAATGGTAACTTTTTATTGAATGTGTTACTGAATATAGAAAGAAACAAACATCCAATGGTCTCCACTAGATCCATTTTAATATGTCCTAGGATATTTTCATCGTAAAATAGGTACCCCCACCCCTTTCTCCTGCCTCTCTTGTAAGTCTCTCTTCATTAATCCCTCCAAACCCAGCAAAAGGTATTCCTCTGGGCTGATTCACGCATTTGTTTGATACCATTGTTGTAGCATCAATTCTATCTGGTAGTTTACATTGACAATCTACAATGTAGTTACAAAAGGTTCTTCACTGCAGGACCTTGTGCCCAATTGCATTCTACTGTCCGTTCTGTTGGAGTCCAACTGTGATAGTATTCCAAACTTATGGTGGATCTGACAGACCAGCAGCAAGAACTGCTGTAAGTGCTGCTACGTTAATACTCCTCAATTGAGTGTTGAAGGCTAGTTTTCTGGGATGCTTTGGTTTAACAGTTATGTGCTCTGTGATTGGTTTTAAAAAGCTTTCACGGCTTACTCAACCAATCAGAATGCAAAGGAAAACTAATGCAACTTGGTCAGGTGATTTTGCTTCGGTGCCTTGCTCCAGTTTCACTTTTGTTTGTTCTTTTACTTGGCTGAATTGAAAGCACTGTGATTGAAAAGGTTTTTACTTGAATGAAAAGCAATGCTAGCCTTATCGCCCTCTCAGTAATCATGACCTTTCTCTGTTTAATCTATCTTACTCTCTGAGGGGGGCAGGGGTACTCCCTGATATGGACTATGTAGGTATGTGCGGCCCCAAGGGGTATGGTTTTTCCACTGTTTTGGTCACAAATAGGGTATCGATTTTGGCCATTTTGGGCTTAAATAGGGTATGGTTTTAGCACTCTAGTCTTGAATTGGGTATGTTTTCGGAAGAAGCTACTTTTTCATCATTATCAATAGCACTGTCAACAAAAGCCCTTCACAACGTATGTTTAGGGCAACTGTGCCAACCAAAAATTGCAAATTTTGGTCATAGGGTAAGGGCTTTGGGAAGTGGGCCACATACCCCCACTCAACTTTTCTGGGAGTACCCTCCCCGGGTCTTAGTCAAACGAATTCAGTCATAAGGGACTACAGGAAACTAGACACTCCAAAAGTGTTTACTTGCGTTTCGTACAAAAATATCAAATCCTAATTTACAAGTAAGGTTATTGAACACAGTAAGAACAATGTCAAAGAATCAGGATATTTTAACACAATATTTACGCTTAGACAGCTTAGATATTTACTATTCAAGTTGCTTCATTGCAAGTATCCTCTTTGTTCAATTACATGCTGTTTGCCACATCTTTAAAGTTCCGTTTGTGATGATTTTTTTTTTAACATCTGAGGTGTTCATCTTTGTACATGGCTCATATGTTATCTCATGAGAACGAGCATGAACTTTGCTTAGTTGGCAGACTTTCAAGCAATATAATTTGTGTACTGACCCATTCCGAAAATGATTGACATCTTTGTATGTGAGATGAATGTGTAAGGTGTGATTCTTTCCAAAACACAGCTTTCTGCATATTATGTTGTTCACGAAGAGCGAGCTGTAAAGCAGTCTGTCACATTCTCATCCCCAGTTTTCATGCTCTATGCTAGGAACGCCTACGACCATGTATTTGACCCCTCCTTTTTGCATCCAAGACAAAATGGCTTGCATTAATATTTTTATGACTCAGGCTTTCCTACAGAAGTCCGAGTGCAAGTAATAACTCCGGAACAAACCAGTTAATAATCAAATCACATGATTCTAATACAGGAAAGCTTTCAACCTGTACAGATGATTTAATTAGGTCATTCACAGGGAAGGGGAAAAAACAGTGAGCAATAATATTATTATGCTCAACAGTGTCCATAATTTGTTGTGGTCAACATACAAACTCTGTCCTCCTGTCTTATAAACAGCCAGCTACCATATAACTGCATTCACGTTGTGAAACTAACAGGAGTGCGTTGTTCTCTTGTTGCAGGTGTACATTGTGTCTCCCTCAACAAGTCAGGAGGCCTTGGGTACAAGATCTTCCATCATCTGTGGAAGGCAGCGCATGTGAAGAACTATACACTGGCTTGGTTATACATGGACAGATGGCATGGGTCCACAGTCAGAACATCTCTGGAGCTTGGAAATCAAGAAAAAGGTAAGGGTTGAATTTGATATTAAAGGATAACTTCATCTTCAAACAAAAGCCTTTTCAATCATTGTACAATTGTTTTGTAATGAAAAGTTGAAAAATATCTTCCACACAAAGTGGTCCATCAATGTCATCAGCTAGCTCATAGTTTACAAGGGCATTTGCAGCAAATTGGAAGCTGTAAAAACTGTTATCTTTAAATTGAAGTGAAAAGGCTGTCATTTTCAATTACATATCAATATGTGCATGATATTTATACGGGTTTCTATGATTGCATGCTCAAAAAGAACGACTGGATTCTGGACTGGACCATCAACTAATGTTTTTTCAATTATGTAACAAAGTTGCTAATTTAAGACTAAGGTGGCTGGCAACAGATTTCAGCACTTTGCATCATTTATTCTTTGAGAGATCAATATTACCACTCTTTATCGAAAAATTTTACAATATCTGTATCACACAATGCACAATCATTGGTGATCACAATTTGTGCTTATCTTCATGACGTAAAAAGTTACTGTAGGAAGATGAACCTTTTAAAAAAAAACCACTTAGTTTTTAGTGCAGAGTGCACTAAAATGGTTTGGGGGTTGATGTCTGCTAAAGCCCTTTGGCAATAAGGCACTATTGCTTTACAGCAACAATGTATGAACTTTAATGTTTGGTTAATTAATTAATTTCAATTGATTAATTAGGCTTGCAGGATGAGGGGTAGGTTGGGGTAGCTACTTGTGACCACTACGTTAAATGAGTGGTACATGTACCTACACTACTTCTTTGATCGCTTCAAAAAGCTTTATATTTGTTTCAGAAAACCCTTTGTTCTCCTTGTGGTACTTTTCTCTTTAGAACAAAACTACTACTTGCTCTAAACATATGTGCAGGTTAATAGGCGTTAGTCTCTACTACATACCAGGTGGAAGATACATTTCACACAAGTCACATACTAACGTTGAGCACTTTTCCTTGTGGTACATGTAGAACCCAGACAAGTCATATGGAAGTGTTCTAGTATCATTGGCGCGATACAAGAATGCTACTGAGACTGCGTTTCTTTTGGAATTATGCCTCACTTGGTTCAAGAAATGTCACCTGTTGTTTCATCCTTTAATTGTCTCTATCAAACAGATTAAAATGTTCATACCCGCAACCGAAACTTTCCCGAGTAAGTGGCATTAAAACTTGTCAAATTGTACAAAAAATACCCCCCAAAACAACAGGAAACTGCTCAAATATTGTTTCAGACTCCGTGGCACCTACTGAAAGCATAAATTTTATCAGTCTCTGAGGGGGACTCGTTCACCGATGAAGGATATATTCTCAGTCAAGTAGCTCTGTTTCCTTTCAATTCTTCGCATTGAAATGCTTCTCAATTGTATTAATCAATATCAGTGTGTATTTTAAATTTAAGTGGTTTTATTGTTAATGTTAAAGGTGGCAACAGAACGTTCTGTTCCGTGACAATTTGATAATTAGATTAGTTCTTGTGGTCAAAAGAAAATTTGCGTGTGAAATAAAGCAAATCGTTCCTCTTTCATTTCTTCATCCGACATTTAACTTTCTTCTATTTATCTCCAGCTTTGAAAAGAATACAAGCACAACTTCTGCATTTATAGTTTATAGTTTATAGTGTTCGAAATCAAAATAAAATCCTGCAGTATCAGTTAGCAGTCTTCCTTGTAAGTCGGAGAACAGCATGAGAATCTGAAAAGCATTATTTACATTCAATTTGGTTACTGTGACGTGGAACACATGCACGAAATCGATCAGGCGTCAAAGGAAATACCATCAAACAGAAAAGAGATGCGATGCTTTAGAGCTCTGTCGACTAACAATTGAAGCTTTCTTTTAAAGTACGTAACTTGCATGCCTGCCTGCCTGGTGGTTGAAAGGCATAATAAAGCCTTGATAAACCCATCAGTCATCAGCACGATTTAACCCATTGACTCCTGTGCTGCTGGTAACCTGCCATGACGAGCCTTGGTGTTTGTTCCACTTCTGACGTCATCACTCTTGACCAAAATTGATATCATCTATACTCAACTTCTGCCGGAGGAAAAGATCTTTCCAATGATACCCAGATCAGAGTGATCGGCTAAATTTGAGCCTGAAATAATTATGCACAAAAATGCTCAGAAATTTGAGTGAAAAACTCAGAGCAAAATTTCCCCTGACTACATGCGGCTGCTCCATGATAAAAATTGCCCGTCTTGGTGATGCTTTCTCAGAATTTTTTGAACTGGAAGCAACCCCAGTAGAAGGTCAATCACTGCAGCAAAAAGAAAAGAAAAGGAGAAAAAGGAAAGGCGAAAAAAATGAAAAAAAAAACAAAAAGCCTAAAGACGTAGGTCACTTTCTCTCAAAATAATGATTTCTGCGCATGCCCAAGCAAAAATGTCATAAAACCCTATTCTAGAAAGGCATGCTGTCATGTTTCAAATGGCTTTTTGAGTAGATTGGAGTAATTTGGTCCATATCCAGCCTGAAAATTAAAGTTAAAGAACCAAAATGTGCTCTCTGATGTTC